GTGTGTGTGTGTGTGTGTGTGTGTGTGTGTGTGTGTGTGTGTGTGTGTGTGTGTGTGTGTGTGGACAGCCTTAAATGTCATTCCTTAGATACTGTTCACCTCTTTTGGAGACAGGGTGTCACACGGGCCTGAAGCTTGCCAATAGGCTAGGCTGGCTGGCCAACAAGACCTCGAATGTACTTATCTCTGCCTCCATGGCACAGAGACTTTACAAGCATGTGCTGTCACACTCAGTGTGGGTTTTAGGGCTTGGATTTGGGCCCTCCCCTTGCATGGGTAGCTCTTTACCCACCAAACGTCTGTCTTCCCAGCCCTGTACCCACTGAGAGTCTCCCTAAACCCCAGTGAGGTTCTTTGAATGGGCTTCACAGTTATGAAACACATTGTCAGAGTTTTTAAATTCTAATATATTTTATATTAGCAACCTAATTTAACGTGTTCTATAAAGCAGCAGGGACATTGCCATATGTTCTTCCTTGTAAACAGGTATTTACAACGTTGGAAATCACCAAGTCGTCAGGGCTGGACATTACTCAGAAAGGCTGCTGAGGCTAGCCCTGCTGTTGTTGTGTTCCCCCTGTCACACACTCTGTCTCTGTGCCCATGACATCTGCTTGGGCACTGGAGGACCAGTTCTGGGCTTTCTCCTGACACAGAGATGAGAAGGTGGCAGAGGACCAGCAGCAGCGGCATCTGTAGTCTCCACTGACTGCATGCAGCAGCCAGGCTGCATCTGTGACGCCTTGGCTCGTAACCCCTGGAGGTGAACCAAGGCTGACTTCTGCACGTCAGACTCGACTACTGCCCCCCCCCCCTTGGATGTCACAGTGAGCCCACCCGCTTTCCCAGTTGCCAGTTCTTTGACTTTGTTTCTATGAAGATATTGTATTTTTCAGTGTGGACTTGTCTGTAAAGAGACTTGTGGGTCTAGAGTGCTGCTCTTATGGATTCATGGCATCTGGAGAGCCAGGTTAGAGCAGTTGGCTGCATAGGACTGCTGCATTAGCCGGAGGCCCATGCACTGTGTAGCCTTTAGAAGGTACACTTAACCTGCTGTCAGAAACCTGACTCATACCCCATCCCTTGCACATCTGAGGATGAGAAGCCTGAAGCCAGTCTCTCGACTAGCAGAGCACCGCATGTAAGAGAAAAAAATGTCGAATGGTTTTTCCATGTTTATCTTAAGGGTACTATTAAAAAGATTTTACTACAGTCTCTGTGATCTCATTTCAGCCTGTTAAACATGACTTTGTCATGGTGTAATGATAGGGTAGTTAATAAAGGTAACCCCAAGGGTTTCCCTCGAACTTAAACACGGCAGCATCGAGCAGGCCTTTGGAGAGGGTGGGTGTTTCTTGGGTCTTTCTGCAAAACTTCAGAGGAACACAGTGGCCCAGTGCTGGGCTATTTGCAGCCACCCACTCTCTTGAGTGTCACTAGCCATTTGAGCAGAGTGTCACAGGCTTGCATGGTTCTGTGGTCAGAATTTCTAGATATAAAAGGGTTTTGTTTTATTTAAGTTTTGAGACAAGGTCTGGGTTTGGGAGAGTCAGGGAGGCCATGCAGCCAGAGGTGTGGAAAGTAAAGGTATTGGGTGTATCCCCTCCAGTTAAACACACTGACTAGTGCCCAGACAGTTGTTTTTTTTTTACTTACTTCATGTGTGAGTATTTTGCTTCACGTATGTCTGTGCACTGTGTGTGTGCCTGGTTCCCGCAGAGGACAGAAGAGGGCATTGGATCCCTTGCGGCTGGAGTTACAGATAACTGTGGGCCACCATGGGGGTGCTGCTAACAGAACTCTGCTCTGGAACAGCAGCCAGTGTTCTTAACCACTGAGCCATGTCTCCATCTCCAAGACTGTCTTCTTCAAGTATGAATGTTTCCTCAGCGTGTCTGCTTTGAGTGGCTAGTGACCAGGAATGACCACATGAATGCTATCTGCCATGTAGAAAGACTTTGCAGTTGAACTCGGCTTGTCCCTTAAGAAACAAAAGCAGCTGAAGCCTCTGGTGACTTGAGAAGCTGTGTTTGTGGGACTAATTAAACTAGAAGTGAGTGGGTGGATGCTCTTAGAACCATTGACAACAGTGGCCTTCGTTAAAGCCGCAGTACCAAGCAGTCTCTTGTGAATTCAGCCCTGGCTTGGGCATATGGTGGTGGTAACTAGCCTGTGTAGGGCCTGGCGCACTCTACCCTTTGAGTTTGCATCTGAGTAGGGATGCCAGGTAAGGTGAAGACACAGTTACACGAATAGTTTTTTGTCAGATCTTGAGAGGGTGATGGACACAGAACTCTCCAATGATAAACCAAAAGGGCCCATTTCCAGAAGAAACCCATGGGGGAACTGTCCCCAGGGAGAGCCATGTGCAGAGCCTGGTTCCCTAGTGGACTCCCGACTTCTCCAGTGTGTCCAGGCAACAGGGCAGTATGTTGTAACAAACAGGACCTGGTTCATGCTTGGGTGATGAGAAAGATGACCCTTATGGAAGTATGGTGGTGTGAATAAGAAAGGCCTCCACAGGCTCATGTATTTGAAGACTTAGTCATCAGAGAGGGATGCTACTTGAGAAGGATTAGGAGGCGTGGCCTTGCTGGAGGAAGTGTGTCACTGGGGGTAGCTTTTGAGGTTTCTAAAGCCCAGGCCAGGCTCGGTGGCTCTCTCTCTCTTGATGCCAAGGATCCAGATGTAGAACTCTCAGCTACTTCTCCAGCACCATGTCTGTCTGCATGCTGCCATGCTCCCCACTGTGAGAAAAATGGACTAAACCTCTGAAACTTTAAGTCATCCTAAATTAAATGCTTTCTCTTATGAGTTGCTATAGTCATAGTGTCTCTTTGCAGCAATAGGACACCGACTAAGACATGTAACTTGCTGCATCTTCTCATTAAGAATATCACTAAAGGGCTGGAGAGACAGCATCAGCTATTATTCTAGAGGTCTTGAGTTCAATTCCCAGCACCCAGTAGGGCGTTGGTGGCTCATGCCTTTAATCCCAGCACTCGGGAGGTAGAGGCAGGTAGATCTCTGTGAGTTTGAGGCCAGCCTGGTCTATAGAGCAAGTTCCAGGACAGGCTCCAAAACAGTACAGAGAAACCCTGTCTCAAAACAACAACAACAACAACAACAACAACAACAACAACAACAAATTCCCAGCACCCACTTGGTGCCTTGAAACCATCAAAACTGTAATGTCCTCATCTGGTATGTAGACACACATACAGTCAAAATACCCCTATATAAACAAATAAATCTTTAAAAAATGTTAAAAACTTAAATAGAATTTAAGAGACCCATCTCACTTAGTATTTCTTGGGTGGGTAGATCCATTAGCACTCCAGGTGACCATACATTGGGTCTTGCAGCAGCCTAGATGGGGCTCTTGCCCCTGAGCTGGCCAGGCAGGAATGGCGTCAACTACCTTTTCCTACAATGGCCACCCTGCCAGTCTCTCCTAGGAGCCTCATCCCCCTGTCACTCTGGCCCGCCCCGTCCCTCCTGCCACTAGGCAAAGGCCCTGCACCTCTTCACACAGCTTCTGGGGCCCATGCTTTTCTGTTTGACTTCTAGGGAATTAAATTTGTAGAGTAGGAACAACTAACCAGCTTATCTATTGTGAGTTCTGGTCAGAACTCCACCCAGTTTTTCTGGGTGGACCTATTCCTTGGTTTTTATCACTGCGCAGGTCTGACCTTCATTTCTGGAGGACTTTTGCTGGATAGGGGACCCCATTTGACTTAGGTTTCCCATCAGCATTGTAAGGATGAAGTTCTGGCCATCTTGTCCGTCACGATGGTGACTGCATCATACCACCTTGTTGATTTTCCCCTGTGTGTACCTGCCCCTGTTGCTTCTTAGCTGCTCTTAAGACAGTTTGGTGTCCCCCTTGCCTGGAAGAGAAGGCCTTGTCCCAGGGCCTCCTGGTGGCTGCCTGGATCCACAGATGGGACCAAAGTTTGTTCTCTGCACACAGAGGCCCTTTCCATTTTCTACAAGCATCTCACTTTACCACAGCTGCTCTGAAATTAGTGGGATAGCAAGCCTCACCGACTTCTGCTCTTCTCTTCCTCCACAGCTCTGTGGGTGGAGGATTCTTACAGGATACCACAGTAATCCTGGCTCATGACCTCTCTCTCTCTCTCTCTCTCTCTCTCTCTCTCTCTCTCTCTCTTTCTCATTCTTTTTTTTTCTGTGTAGCCCTAGCTGTCCTGGAACTAGCTCTTGTAGACCAGGCTGGCCTCAAACTCACGAGATCCACCTGGCTCTGCCTCCCGACTGCTGGGGATTAAAGGTTTGTGCCACCAATGCCCGGCTCTTGCCTTATTGATAATTTCTACCATCTCCCCGGGAAAAGCTGCTCCAAGGCAAGTGTGAATCTCCAGGACAATAGTAAAACTGGGCCATCCGAGAACAGGCATGGTGATGCCTCAGCAGCTGATTTGATGAACGGAAAGGTACTGTGGGTACACTGTGAGATGGGAGAAGCCACACCACAGGTGGGGGGAGCAGGGAGGTGGGAAAGTCTGTTGAGAGTGGAGCATAATTTGAACCAATGGACTGTGTATCACTGGTCTTCTATTTAATATTTTCAGGCTGCAGTTGGTGAGTAACTGAAGCCTGGACAACTTCCTGCAGGGAATCATGGTTGATGTTTCTTCCTTCTTATCCTTTCTGGGCTTTACTGGGCTTCTTGGGTCAGTGAGTTGATGTCTTACTCCCCCCCACTTTGGGAAAATTCCCAGCCATTTCTTCCTCAAATATTTCTTCATATGTTTTCTGCTTGTAGAGTTCCAGTCATGGATGCATTGAACCTATTGTTTCATATATGTCAGTTTCCTTTTGTTTCTGCATTGACTTGCCCCTGCCTCTTTCCCTTGGTGCATCTCACCTGCTGCTAAACCCCTAGCATAGATTTCTGTGGTGTTGTGTTGTATCTGTGGGTTTGGGTTTTTGTTGGTAGAACTGCCATGGTTCTTTCTTTTTTTATCTTTCTTTTCAAATTCCCCATCTATTCTCATATAGCATCCACCCTTTCTCTTAGGCCATCTGGTGTGTTTATAATTTAAAGGTCTCTATCTATTTCCCAGAGCTGGGCTGTCCTTGTCTGGCTTTTATTGAATGTTACTCTCAACAAGTTACATTTTCTTGTGTCTTTGCACACTTCCTAAGTCCATGTGCAGGTGTGATGTATGGCTGTGCCCAGAAGACAGTGCTCATGTTCCCTGTCCACTTCATTGTGGGTGGCTCAGTCCCTCCTGATATAGTCAGACAGGGTGTGGCCACCAAGGCTCTGGTTAGAGTCAATTCCTGACCTCCATATTTTGAGGGTGTGATAGGGCCTAGGGTCTGGAAGACCCTAGTGGCCTCTGGGATGTCAGCTAAACCCTGCTTTCTGATGGCAGAGTATTCATGCCTTGTAGTGGTTACTGGATTGTTTTTTTTCTCTCCAGTCCTGCCTCTGATATTCTATGTCCTGATAGCTACATGGCCTGAGCCATCATTGGGTCACTGCAGGATATCTCGTAAAAGCCGAGAATGCCTTGAAAGGA